CAATAATCACGCCTACCTCCCATATAACGGTAGCTGGCGGAAATACGAAATCTGCGATATTTTAGTAACTTCTCAAGCATATTCACACAAAACTTATGTTGCAATGATTTTTAGGAAATAAGAATATTATATGTAATATTACATTTATGTTATATTATACATTTTTGGAAAATGGGGGAAGCCCCGACAACTTATGATTACGTACGTATTTATGTATATATGTAGTATGTCTCGGTAACCTCTTCACTAGTTTCTCCTAAACTTGGCACAATTGTTGGCTTCGATAAATCAGTAAATACTGAAGTTGCTTTATTCAAACTCAATGGGCGTGGCACCCCACACTTTGACCACACACTATGTTTGAAATAGGGGTAAATCGCCCCTGCTTACCATGTAACGGTAGTTTTCGGAAAAGTGAAGAAACTATATTTAATACGTGCGCCGGGTATTTCACGTTGGGCTTCACCCGAACTTAGANAAAATCGGACAATAATCACGCCTACCTCCCATATAACGGTAGCTGGCGGAAATACGAAATCTGCGATATTTTAGTAACTTCTCAAGCATATTCACACAAAACTTATGTTGCAATGATTTTTAGGAAATAAGAATATTATATGTAATATTACATTTATGTTATATTATACATTTTTGGAAAATGGGGGAAGCCCCGACAACTTATGATTACGTACGTATTTATGTATATATGTAGTATGTCTCGGTAACCTCTTCACTAGTTTCTCCTAAACTTGGCACAATTGTTGGCTTCGATAAATCAGTAAATACTGAAGTTGCTTTATTCAAACTCAATGGGCGTGGCACCCCACACTTTGACCACACACTATGTTTGAAATAGGGGTAAATCGCCCCTGCTTACCATGTAACGGTAGTTTTCGGAAAAGTGAAGAAACTATATTTAATACGTGCGCCGGGTATTTCACGTTGGGCTTCACCCGAACTTAGAGTTTTTCTACTTCTTTTTAATTAAAATCAGTGACAAGTCCGGCGTACCATTTACCGCAATAGTGTTTTCAAAGGAATCTTATTACGAAATAGTGCCAGCACATAAACAGCATAAAACATAAGAAATACTATTGAAGTGGGCACGAAATGAACGGCATTTTTGAGCGGCTAAGCGGCATTCCTGAATGGCGCCGCTCATTGAGAGGCCTAGGCCTAACAGACGTTTTGCACCTCAAAATTTTGACATTAATGAACAGAGCTTATCCATCACCAGAATAACTTGTACTAATGCCGATTTTGTTTCTACCGAAAAATGCAACCTTCTCTTTGCTCTCTACGCACAAACACTAAGAAGAGGGCGATGAGAAGGAAACATNCTTTTCTACTTCTTTTTAATTAAAATCAGTGACAAGTCCGGCGTACCATTTACCGCAATAGTGTTTTCAAAGGAATCTTATTACGAAATAATGCCAGCACAGACTAAGGCCGAGGCCACACATTGAGCGGCAAAGCGGCGAGCGACTTAAAATTAAAACATAAGAAATACTATTGAAGTGGGCACGAAATGAACGGAATTTTTGAGCGGCTAAGCGGCATTTCTGAATGGCGCCGCTCATTAAGAGGCCTCGGCCTAACAGAGACGTTTTGCACCTCAAAATTTTGACATTAATGAACAGAGCTTATCCATCACCAGAATAACTTGTACTAATGCCGATTTTGTTTCTACCGAAAAATGCAACCTTCTCTTTGCTCTCTACGCACAAACACTAAGAAGAGGGCGATGAGAAGGAAACATTTTTCGTAAATAGACACGAAAAAGCCCTAAGTTTTACTAAAGTTTACCAACTTTTTAGTTGAGAGCCTGTTAACAAGTAGAGGATTTGATGCTGGATTCTTATGTACTATTAGGTGGTTCATAACGTGTCGCATTGTCGTATGTCGTAAAATTTTTAACGGCTAAATAAATAGGGGACTTGAAGCCACAACCAACTATTTTTCAGCGGTGTGAAATTTCATAGCGAATCCCTTAAAAATAGTTTTAGCCGTTTAAAGTTTATGACATCCAACAATACGAGAGTATACAACTCCTATATGTTTTAGGAATAGAGTGTGGAGTCTTCCAAAAACCACTAAGTGAAAAAAATTTACTTACGTTGTCTCGCTAGTTTAAGCCGTACATTAGCCCAAAGCTTGAAAGCGTAATAAAGTAGNATTTAAAGTTTATGACATCCAACAATACGAGAGTATACAACACCTTCTGAACTCCCTATATGTTTTAGGAATAGAGTGTGGAGTCTTCCAAAAACCACTAAGTGAAAAAAATTTACTTACGTTGTCTTGCTAGTTTAAGCCGTACATTAGCCCAAAGCTTGAAAGCGTAATAAAGTAGGAAGACTACAGCATGCTCCAACAACCAGATCCCAAACACATATTCGATTTTCTCTAAACTCGATTTGAAGGTACCCAAACCGAAATATATTCTGTAAATAACAAATTTTATTTTTAAATTTAAGATTACAATTTTGCTTTATTATGAAAATACTGACCTGCCTTCAGCTAAATAATCATACAAAACGCCGTTTATAAACAAAACCAACAATATTGAGATGAATATGTGATAAATGGTGCGCATGTGGTCCACTTCCAGCAACGCTGTCAGATACGATTCTCGCACAGCGAACACTTTTTCGGGCAGTGGACGTGGCTGTTTTTTATGTTTGGTCGGCAATTTATTTTGTGTGTTTTCCGTTTGCTCTGAGTAAATTTTTTGGGAGCTAATTTGGACATGGTTAGATACGTCTGCGGCTGAGATGCGATTACTCCATGTGTTGTCGCTCTGTGATTTTGCGAAACCTTTAAATTCATTCACTCTAAGTTCTTGCTGTCGCAGCTCCTGTACCACGCCTTCGATCTCTTCATTCATTCGTTTTTTGAAGTCTTTAAGCAAAATGTTTTGTAAACTTTGTAAGCGATCACGTAGATAGTTGCGTTCTAAGTAGTCGGAATTTCCACTTGTGTGATCTAAGTTAAATTAAAGCAAACATTTGATTACTTGTTTCTTCATTGTATGTATTTACTAAGAATTTTTATGATGGGATCTCTTCTGATAAGGTTTTACTCAATATGAGAGATTTTTTTTACTCTCTCATAATTGAGGGATGGAAAATTCTTGCTGGACTTCGATGAACAGTACTATTGTTATAGATTATAGAGCAATAGAAAATTTTTTCAGCTCTTTTCAGTCTTTAAAATTCGCAACACGAATGCCATTTGAGTCGGTCTTGCCTTTACATCCTAAAATTTGACGTATTTTGGCATTCACGTGCTCAGAACCATAGTTAAATAATAGTTGTGTCTAATGCAGTGGTGCACAGCGTCGACTGAGCTACCAATACCAACACAACATTTTTGACTTAGTATGTGTTCACTAGCGACCCTCCAGTAGTGCTGGAGTCAATCGCTACTTTGGAACCGCTACTGCGCCGACTTCTAGGCAAGTAGGTACTCTATTAAACCGTGGTAGTGCACATGGTAGTGCAGAGTCAAACCAGTCGGAAGCAGAATAGCGACAAAATACGACAGAGGGAGCCCATAAATCACGCAAGTGACTACTTTAGTAACTCCCAGTAGTGCAAAGAGAGCTGATGGTGATTACCACCTAGGACATTTCCTTGTAAAAGTAATCGCTGAAATACGCTGCAAGTAGTCGGTCGGTAATTGACGGAGTTTACCAGGTAGCTACCGATTCATCAGTCCTGTAGTCACTCCCCCGTACTGCAGGGGAACGTAAACTAATTCGCTGCTAGTGTGGCAACAGTTCGCTAGCTACGCACACACGACTTGTATGTGAAAGCCGAGTAGCTCCCGGAGACTCCCGTGTGCATCACTGATGTAGGTACACAAAGCACGCTGGCTTCATTCATATATTGTTTGGTAGCGGCAGAACTGAAATGCGAAATTACCCCGTAGCGAATGTCATGCATTAGTCACTTCAGAGTCTTATAAGGAAAAGTTACGTCTTAAATGACTTTGGGCTTCTTTTGTATGGAAGTCGTTCATGATTTTTTCATGTAAATGGTAATTTCGTCGTTGATGTCATCTGCATGACTTGGTCATGCAGTGATCTTTAATGACATTCAAGCGACAGTATCTTGCAATGGACTTTTTATAAGCGACCGCTGCAAGACATTGTCTGTTATAAGTCTTTGATAGGACTACACCTGCATGACACTAGTGTCATTGTCAGCTATATGTCGTTTAGGATTCACAGCAAGTGCGACGATGTCACTAAATCCTCATTAGTGACGATGTCACCCGTGACCATTTTCGCTACTGGGTAGTTCGTACATACATACATATGTACATGCGTGCAGTCAAACATACATAAATATGTATGCATGTACATATGTATGTACATATGTATGTAGGTACGCGTATGCATGCGCGTTCAAGATGTTTATGCTATCGCTTTTTACAGCCGTCATACGTCACTTTCTTTCTTTTTTCCCCTTCTCTATACTATATCTTCCTTCTTACTCATGTAACATTTTCAGTTTTAAAAATTTCACTCTCCATTTTTGCGATACCGCCGCCTAAGAAGTTTCACTTCAAAAAATTGTTTTATTATCTCTATCTTTATTATCTTATCTTTCTCGTCACATTAGATCTTAAATCAGAAAAATGCAATTTAACCCAAAGTGCGACGTCGAGTACTCTCCTAGTTAACAATAAATAAACAAATATTTGGTTGGCGAACTTTTGCTGCCTCCCCTCTAATTTGTTTTGTGCGTGCTGATGGCGGAAGTACACTCGGAGGTTTGCCATTGCCTGCTCCTTGTGTGTTTATCTCTTCAAGAAAATTTTCAGCAAAAGCCAAGTACTTTTCAAATAACAGAAATAAAGAAAAACATTTCTTGTGATTTTTCTTGCGAGCTGGAAGCTAAGCTTAAGCTGGGAAATTTTAAAATGTTCAAATTCCATCACTGGCATATACTAGTTTGTCGGGATGTACCTTGATATGATTACCAACAGCTTCCATCAAAATGTATGGCTTGACTCCTAAACGTAAATTTACTATTCAGCACAGTATATACAGTAATAAACCTTTTTGAGTACTCCTCGGTGGTAAAATCTGATCAGGGTTGATAATGAGAAGGAGCATGAATTTTGCCGATTCAGACTTGCGCACAAATTTACTGTGGTATGAAAGGGAGCAACAACCGTACTATGGCAGAGTGGCACAGGTAATTTTGTAAAAAACACTTCTTATGATTATAAGAGATAATTGCTATTTATTTTGCAATATTCCGATATCCAGCGTGTAGCCAGAGGCAGTGTCATGTGAGCCTCACTAAAATCTACTCATCACGTTGGAGCAGCTCCGGGTAATGGACCATTGAATGTGCTGGCTGAACTTATGACCACCATAACCTTCGGAGTCTCCAAGTAATTGCGTAGCCTGAGTTTCTATACTTTGATGTTGAGTATTTTTGAGGAGCTCCGGGTAATGGTCGCTCAAACTTGGGTGTGCTTAATGAGCTCTCTGGGCGGATGCGCTGGCAGGTTTTGCAGTCTATATAACTATGCAAACCTCGTTTTGTTTTGGAATAAAGACTTATATATATTCGGAAATTTAGAATTTTGCCTGATAAATTGACAAAATTCGCGTTTTTCATAAAAATATAATCTTACAATGGATATTTTATTGATTTTAAACTTACATTTATGAAAACTCTGTTCAGTGTTATAATTACGATTTGAGTTTCCAGTTTAAAGAAATACATGCAATAATTATGTACTTTACTATTGATAGTATTATTAATTAAGCATTGATATTATATTTAACCTACATTTTGTTCATAAATAACACAATTATATATATTTTATCCTCGGATAGAACTTTTTCTAGTCATGAGGCGAAATTCCCCACAGTAAGTACTCCTCGGGGACCATTTGGTGAAAAACTGCGAAAAGGTTAATTACTGTATATACTGTGCTATTCAGTACTACGATGCATTTTTGTGTGTAAAATTTTGTTATGATCCAATTTGCGTTGGTGATGCGTATCAATAACTTGATGCATTCATTTAGCAACTCTAAACTATTGCGCATCATCGACTTCTTTGTTAATGAATATATGCCTTTGTACCTAAGCAATTCAACTGACGTTTGGAAAGTTTACGAATTGGTGACTGATTTTTAGCAATACGTACATGCATACATACATATGTATATATCGCACACCGTCTTCAAAAGAGGCACAACTCAAAATTTGGAATTTTTGAAGTCATGCGCTAAAAATGTACACAGGGCTTTTATTTACCTTTCAGCAGCAGCTGGAGCAAAGTTTTGTCTTGCCCATATGATTATCATGTGCTAAGAAATAGTTTTCCCCGGTAATTTTGAGTTGTGCCTCTTTTGAAGACGGTGTGCGATATACATATACATGGTACATCATCTGGGCTCATCTTTTATTACCGCACAAAAATTGAAAACTATCTGCTTTTGACAGTTATCCGTATTCTTCATGTCGTTACACTTTGAGAAGGTCGCGAATTGCTGAGTACAAAATTTATGTAAATCAGATTAAGTTAAATTATTCTCCGGAAATATGTGCAGTACTGTCTGAAATATGTGTAAGCAATTCGGCTACGGCTATCAAACCATATTTTCGCTTATGCGCTAAAGATTAGTGTTTACAAAAATTATATATAAATATGGATTTAACTGTAAAAAGCAGGGAAAATATTTCATTTAAAAAGGCAAAATGTAATAGCGGATTAGACAGGAGAGGCACTAAAATTCCGAAAAAGCTAGAAAAAAACGGAAATGAAAACTGAAAAATAGCAATAAAAAGCATATATTTTAGAAATTTTATTCATTTTTTAACCGACTTCCAAAAAAGGAGGAGGTTATCAGTTCGTCGGAATATTTTTTTTTTTTTTTTTTTGTTATGTATGTTACCGCATAACTTTGGACCGCGTCAACCGATTTCGATAATTCTTTTTGCATCGGAAAGGTAGTGTCTCAGAGGTGGTACCATACTAATCTCGTTAAGATCCGATCAGCGGACCATGAGATATATATATATATATTTTTTTTTTTATATGGAAGTTGAAGTCGGTTTTTTTTTTGTTAAAAATTACTAGTATTTTATAAGTAAAACGAGAAAAATTTTTGAACTAATAATTTCATTATGAAAAATTTGTGCCTTGAATTTTTGATTGAGTATTTTCTTCTTTCGAGCTTTTAACTCATGAAACCTTACTCTCTACAGTGACAGTCACATTTACTACAAGACGCATCTTGAAGATTTCGGGCAGCCTTTACATTCTACTGTTATCGCGAAGGAAAGCCTTAAATGTACAGATGTACATATGCGTGTAAGTATATACTAAAAGTGCGCTCAACATGAGCTGGTACACGTGGTTCCTAATTTAAATATGGCGTTATTTTATATTGAAAATGAGTTAAATATTAAGGCGTTGCGACACTTACGACACCCTAATAAATTCTTTGGTATTGAAAAAAAAAATTCTGGTCATATTCATCGCAGCACTGTACGAGCGGCGGTTTGAGTACTTTCGCGCTTTTGTACCGAGTTGATCAGATTTGTAGTCGTTGTGTATTTTAAACAAGTAATGTACAATAAACTATAGTATTTATTAGCGGCTGTAAAGATTACCACTATATTAGTTGTTGCTTTATTGATTTATTAGCAAATACGGATTATCGCTACTGGCTGTATTTATTTAAGGGCACACCAATTCTAAAACCATATTAAATTATGTTGGAGAACATATGTACATATGCATCATGGATCCACGACAGATCAGAAAAAGTTCGACTTTTAAAGAAATTGGAATTTTAGTGTACATGCATATATACACTTACGAGCATAGCAGGGGTATTCTCGAAGTCTTGTAGAGTCCTCGGTGCACGGATTGCATGGTTTGCCGAGCTGTCCCATAAGAAAACCGGTTTTTACTTCGATGCTTCGACTTTGAGAATACGCCTAATGTTTGTTTTTGAGGAATAGGGAAAACTAGTGGCATATCCAGATAATTCATACTTTTGAACAAGTTTCGAATTTTGTTGTTGCTTATTTTGCAAAATATTATATAAATATAAATTTTATTTTAAACAAAACATTATGAATTCAATAAATTACATTGTAAGTAGTTTTCGCAACTTTTTTGGTTAAGCTATTTGTGATAGATTATTGTTCTTCAGTGGATTTTAATATAGTAAACTGAATAAAAAAATCATATAATCCGTATCTGAGAATAAAAAAATATATAAAAAAATTTGTTGCTGCTTACATATAGGTATTTAGTTACATACATATATGTATTTATATATTCTCTACCCATGTGTAAATCTCTATTTTTCTATCAACGATTTAATTTGGAAGATCACACTTTTGGACTTATTCGGTTCTGCCGGGAAGTCACTGGTATGTGCATACTTATTAAGATTCGGAAAACATACAACTCAAAGTAAGCACTTTAAAACGCCTTCAAAGTTCACATGTTTATATATTGATGTAAGAGAAGTTAAGATTTGCATTTGAATTTCACGAACCACTAATGGAAAAAATCATTCGCATTCTTTGGATGCGATTACATTTCGTTTACAAAAATTTCCAGTGCCAACGATCTTCTTACCTTTCTCTAATTGATCATTTCTCGACGAACTATTTTGCTCATTCCGGAAACATTTTATTTTTTCTTCCGCCATTTTTTTTTGTCAAATAACTTGCTTTTCTTTAGTTTCACATTCAGGAAAGCACGCAAATCTACGCAATACCTAGCCAACTATTGTTGTCAACGACAGAGGCGCAATCGAAACTAAATTCCTTTATATTTCTGTTACCGTATTCTGTCTTGATGTTTAGCAGACGAATGATGTGCGCGTATTGATGAGCCGTCCACGCTTTCATTAAACTTTATATGTACATATTAGGTATGTTCATTTTTCAGCTTTTTCCGATCCCGGAATTTTCGGGATGTCGTTATCACAATCCCGGGATCATGGGATTAGTCCCGGGATTTAGATATTCATTACTTTTCAACAACTTAAATAGAAAGAATTGTTTCTATATTGTTTGAGAAGCTCTCCTACCATAAAGTAAAGAATAAGTAAATGGGTTTGAAACCTACTTTTTTATTAAAAGTGGCGTTTTAATTTTTTCTCTGACGTAAGGATTTATTTTAAAGAACTTTGTAATTATATATATGATATGATTGATTCCAAAAACTATTAAAAAATTCAACGCAATGTAGAATAAAAATATGGGTACCAAATGTAAGAGGAAACTTCTTTAGGATTTAAAATTTTTAAATTTTTTGGATCCACAAGGACGAGTAGGTAATTTTTAAGGATAAAGTTAGAATGACGAAATTCGAGGATCTTATCGAGTTTATATAAGTCCTTAACATATCGCACACCTAGATCTAAAGTGAGCTAACTACGATACTTTCGATAACTTTCGATACGATATGATACCATATCGATATTTTTGCCATTCGATACCGATACTTTTTGTTCGATAGTTTTCAAACGATATATTTTGGAATCGAGTACCAGAACCCTTGTATCGTATCGAATCGTAAATGTACATTACATTAGTGTTACTACGTTTATGCGACAGAATTCATGAATTCTTCATTTCATGAATTTAAAAATGGGCCCGGTTATGCATAGTTCGCAAATTTATGAAATAAAGTGCCTTGAAAAAGTGGCAATGCACTAGGGTTGTGGCTTTTTCGGCCTCCTTTTGAATTTGCAAATGTCGTTGGTACCAGGCAATGAACCATATTATATTTAAATTGGTTATAATATATTTTCAGTTTATTCTATTTCAATTTATTTAATATTTCAACGATTCCACATAACTTTTCCAGTGTTTTAAATCCGGGTTATGCCACTTAAGCTTTTTAAAAACATCATAACCCTAAAAACATCATAACCCTAGTAAACAGCTGTTTGTGGAACGTGGCGTTGCCGGACTTGCGCTTCATGAATTTTAGCCTTAGCTATTGTTCCATCTCTTGCAAATCTATGTCGTACTATAACCTTACTTACTTTGGAATTTATATGTAAAGCAATATGGATATATTTTGCGCTTTAAACCGCAGAAATGTGCACTATCTTAGGTTGGAATGTGGCGCGCCTTCAGTGAAGCACTTACTAAAGTGCAAAGTGTTAATTCTTTAATAGAAAATGAGACCAATATTCATATTTAATTTTTTTTTGTTTTGTATCGATATTTTGAATATCGAGTATTTTTATTATGATATTAATGGGTATATATTTTTACAGCGATACTTTAAATTAGTGCTATATCGCTAGAGCAAACTGAAAATTCATGGAGGGAAATGTAACTGCTTGTGCATTGTACAGATTCAGCGCAACTAATACAAAAACTGGTATAACAGTAGTTTTTTAGTTAATGTATATAATCACGAAGAAAAGTCCTAAGAATTGATTTATGCTAAAATTTAGCCATACATTTATTTTTTTAGTTGATCGCACTTTAGATCTAGGTGTGCCATATAATTTTTTCAAAAACAAATATTGCGAAATTTGATGGATACAATTTTAAAACTTACCAGTCCTTCTGCACCAAAAACTTGATTCTACAGGAATTCCTCCTTAATTTGGTACCCATTCTTCTTCTCTAAGCACATTTCTTTGAATTTTTCAAATCATTTTTCAATTACTGACGTCAGACTGAAAAACTAATGGCCTTATTCATAAAAAATAAAGTAGGTTTAAAGAGCTTTATAAATTGACGTTTTCATACATTTTTCAATTTATAAACCTTTTATAAAGCTACTTTATTTTTTATGAATAAGGCCATAAAAATACAATTTTACTATATTTGGCCCATGGTTTCGCGAATATATTGATATTTGATATCAATTGATATTGGGCTAGACTTTTATAAAAAAGGAGTTTCTGTTATTGCCATCAGTGCAAATTACATATCCCGAAAATACCGGGATTATTTGCCAATAATCCCGGAATTCCGGGATTAACATTTCTAGTACATATGTACATGTCCAGTATAAAGTGAGCATATTGGTCACTTCTGCTCTGATTGCTGCTAGTGCTTATGAACACCACTCTTATCTCTTGGCGTGGTGCGAGCGCCACTCTCTGCTTCTATAAAAAGTAAGTTATTGGACTGAAAACCTAGTACTTTTATGACGTTATCGGGGCGATTAGGCAAGTGCAAGTACAATCGGCTTAGCAAAGTACAAAACAATCAAAAGTCATCCGTATTGATGTGCAAATATATACATATGTATATGTCTGTATGTTTGTACTCGTAAAGTTATACAATCAGATTTATGTATATGTTTTGTGCGACTGATCAAGAACTTATCATGAATTCTCACCGTATTAAATTAGACTGATTAAAGTATAGCGGTAAAGTCGAGAGGCGGGCAAGTTTTCCGATAGATGGGTCCAGGGTTCGATGCCTTTCGCGAACATGAAATATGTAGCGAGGTAAGGAGAAAACTTGCGATGCGATTAGTAATGCCAATCATATGCTACCCTGAGCTTGTGTACAGTAAAATGAGTTCTCTATCGGCTGATAAAATTGATGTACCCTTCAGCCATGTTACACGATATGTGTTTATTAGGCTGTGAAATATCTAACTATCTCAAAGGTCCACAAACTTGTTTTTCTTGAAGACCCATTTCAAAACTTTACTGGTTTCGGTGGACCCAATGCTGCTACATGTCTAACATATTCCTAAAGCACGTAAAAAATGTGAAGATTTGATCTAACGATGAAAATTTGCATCGCGGGTGGGAGCTAAATTCGGAGTGGCAAAAAAAATAAAATATTTTCTTGTGTTCTGTTTTGTAAAGTAATGTGATTGTGTGACACACTTGCAAGTTTAAAAAAAACAGAGCTCGTAAAGCCTTCAAAGTACTCTCTCGCTCTGAGGATATTTTTAAGAGCACCCTGATTGCTGGCGTTATTAACAGTACCAGGTTGACTGAGCTTTGCCTGGAGTACATATAATTTTTAAAGTTTTCATTTGATTTGGATAGCTTTATAAAAATATTTTGGAAATAAAAAAAACTTGGATTTCGATATCTATCAGGTAAATTTCTCACTGCCAAATTTAGGTGACAACCCTATCCTGAAATACGCTGGAATGAATGGTACATATCTTGAGCGTATACATATGTACTGTGTATACTTAAAAAAACATGCTGATTGAAATGAACAAAATAAAAATTTTTATTATAAGATGCGTGGCATCCCTGATGGAAAATACTCTCTCACCAAAGTTCTCAACAATACCTTTCATTTGATATCCATATTGCGATGTTTTAAATAAATTGTGTAGAATCGAAAATAAGTGGCAACCTACCCTATTATCCTAAGGGATAACATTTTATATATAGGGAAAGCATTGTTTAAGAACCTTTTCTTGGTACCCATGAATAGTAATATTTTACCTTTTTTCCACAAAAAATTAAATAAATATGCGATTCAAATTAGGTGGCAACCCTAAAAATATTTTTGAATTAGGTATCTTCAAAAACCTTCCAATTGATACCCATATTATGATGTTGTAATTAATTTGTAAATAATTTCGAATAGGCGGCAGCCTTATACGAGTCTTCTCGGAGATAGCCCCTATTCAGATAACCTTCAAATCCAAAACATTATCTGTGTACAAAATTTTATCAAAATCGTTTCCGTTTCCTCACTTATTGGGCTCACTCATGAATTTGCATGTGGCGTATTTGTAAAATAGTTTATTGCATGATAAAAACATTACAAGGTAAAATCATTGGGAGGCAGTCTGACGTTTGCCAGCAATATAATTTTCAAATTCGAACTCAAGCTCACACACACATTCTCATTTTTAATCTCAAACAACAACAATTGTGAACAATTTCATTTTTTTATTTTCAATTTTATATGATTTTAAAATGTTTGCAAACGTCAGAAAAAAATTATGGCCGATGAATTGAGAGAATGATTTTACCTTCTAATGTTTTTATCATGATTTATTGTGTTGCTGGCGTCATTTTTATTTTTGTCACTCACATTTTTAAAACACAAAACTTGAAACAACAAAACCGCGAAGCTTTTTACGCCAATCTTGAAATTCGAAACTGACACTGGAGAAAATACCGATTTAAAAAAATCGAGGACAAACAACCAAGCAAGCAAGAAGCACAACAAGTGTTCCACCGTCTCATCCTCTTCAAGGCAGGATGGGCAAATGGAGGTGTAATTTACGCCTATCTCAGTCAGGTGTTTTTGCTCCGTGAAGTTACCAGTCAGCAGGCCAACAAGTTCAATGCAGTCACGTCTGCTCAGTGAGAGCAAAAAACTAGATTGACCATCTGAGATTGAAGGCAACATGCTTCCCCTCGATGCCTTCCCGTCATTGCTGTGCGAAGGATTCACCCAGTTTCTGATGGTGGCTTCGATTGCCGAAGTGTAGAGTCCTATAACTGCTTGCGGTTCGAGGATCGCCTGGTCTAAGTCAACTGTGGCTAAATCTTCAGATGTCTTATTACCAGGTTTACCAATATAATTTAGCCCACACTTGCATTGGCGAACTAGTTTGGAAATACTTGGACTGAGGGCTGGCCAATGCCTTATGTTCAGCTTAGCTGTCACTGCAAACACGTAAACTTCTTCCCCTCTACCTATTTTGCACCACGTAGTCCATGGCTTTGAGGATTGCAGATACCTCAGCCTGGAAGACCGAAGCATATTCTCCAAAAGAAAAGTTAAGCCCATCCCCATTAACTTCGAAAAAGACCCCAGATCCTTACCCAGAGTCAGTTTTGGAGGTATCAGTTAAGATTCGCCCCACTCAGTGTTATACCAACATCCGTTTATTTTTAGTTTGTAGGTGGT